ACACACACACACACACACACACACACACACAAAATTACATATACTTTCACATGGACACACACACAGCAGACACACAAGCACACATATCATGTGGTTTCCTGTCTGGTGCGTTCCTGTAGAAAGCCCACGCTGGTCGCTCTGGGTTTCTAGATGGATTCTCCAGTCTGTTTGGGGGGTTTGACTCGGTCAGACTGTGATTGGCTCACAGGCTGTCTGTGACCTGCTCACCTCACACCTAGCTCGCTTTCTTTGGTCAGCCAGACTCTCAGTCAACTCTCTTGTAAATACATTATAAGTTATCTGAACCAAAGCAAGATCTGAATCGGCTTTGGTGAAGACAGATGTTCACGCTTTGGCATGTATCTTATATAGAACTCAAATGAAGGGGCTGTAGAGGTTGTTTTTAAATCATTCACATGCATTAAGGATCCTTTATCCAAAGAGTTTGTCCATGTCCAAGTTTTCCATATCAAGATTTCAAATTCAGTAACCCTAACCCCTGATAACCTTAACCCAAGTTCAATGTGTTGGACATTTTGCTTCTTTATTGTCTTGTTGGATGTTAGTGGCAGTCCCAAGCCTGTCTGCTTCAAGCAGCAAAACCAAAATTAGCATAGCTTAGCATGAAGACTTAAAGCAGTGGTAAACTGCAGTTTGTTCTTTAAGTCAAAACTAACTCAAATCTCTTATCAACATGGAACGAAAATCGCCATCATAAGTGTCCTCACCAGGCTGAGCTATACCAGAAACTGGAACTGTAAGAATCAAAAATGTGTGCTTAGAAAAACTATTGTGACAAAAAGTCTGTGAAGCGCTTTTTAATCGGGTTCCTTTTCTTTTGATGGTTCACATGTTTTTTGCTATCTGAGATACAAACTGCAAATTTTTTCATAAAACAAATTTAGTTGGTTGGAAAATATGAGAAATTTGGGTCACGGTTTTTTAAAATAAATTTGTTGGGGGTGGGTCCTGAGGCTATACCAGTTCAGAACCTCTTCATTACAGTACACAGATACTGATTGTTTAAATGATATTAACAACTCTTGGGTTGTGATTGACATAAACAGCATTCTGTGAATTGAACTGAGCACATGAGAGGACAGAAAAAACAAAGAGTGAAAAAAAGTTTTTGTGGTAAGCAGTCAAGATGTCAAAAACCCTCTTTATGTGGCTAGCCTGTCACTCACTCCCTTTCCATCTGAGTACTTTCAATCACAAATGACAGCTTTTATTTTATAGTTTCTTCCCTCAGTAGAGCTCATAAGGAGTAGAGCTGGATGTAAGTCAGACCCTCAGACTCTCTCCTCAACACTCAGCTGTCATCCAGACATAAATCTTACAAGAATCACTGTACACCCCGCTGAAACTTAAGTGCATCTTGGTGCCACAAACCAGGATGCCAGCCTAGTAGAGGGATGCCAGGGAGGGTAGCTGTTACACGCCACACTCCAATGATCCGTCCACTTGCGTTGTCGTCGGGCAGATTTCGAAATGACCGTCCAAGACGCCGATGCAATCTTGGCAATCAGGGCCGGGCCGCGCTCGCATTTAGCTACTGCTGCTGCATGTAAGTTTGTGTGAATGTGTCTGTATGGGGTTGTAGGGGTGAAAGAGGGGTGCAACCTGACCCCCTTTCCTCCTCTAAGTTGGTCTCTCGCTCACACACACACACACACACACACACACACACACACACACACACACACACACACACACACACACACACACACACACACACACACACACACACACACACACACACACACACACACACACACACACACACACACACACACACACAGACTGGGACAGCTGCCATACTCCGGGCCTCTCCCAGCGCACCAGAGGAAAAGGCTACGGCTAAAAGAACCTTTTTTCTCCTCTTTTTTTTCCTCCTCCTTCATCTCACTTTTTTCTTCTGGTGGTCATACATTTAAATCCTGCAAGGCTCCCCGGGGTCAACAAACACCACTGCTCCCCCCCCCCCCACATCCTCCACAGCCAGCAGACTGGAGGGAGTCTTTGTTAGAGTTCGTGACTTTACTTAAGGATTGGAGCTTTGTTTTGACCAAATGTCTTCTTAATGCTTCAGCAAATTACAATTTAATTAAATGAATAATAAAAGAATTGATCAAAATAGCATCATCATTGTCCGTCAATCCTCATCTCTCTAAAAACAGGAACAAAAAACACTTAGCACCTTCTCTCTCAAGCTAAACAAGTATGTGACAACAGGTGGAGCGACACACTTAAACAAGCTAAAAGTAGCATTAAGGGCTAACACTGTTGGCCCTGCTGCCTTGGGCTACTTCCAGCGCTCCCTGAGGATCCCAGACGGCAGGCAGGCGGCAGCGGCGGCGGCCAAAGAGGACGCCTGACCATAACCCAGATGACGCGCGATGGATGTGGTGGGAAAAGTGCGAGGTGGGGGGGGAGGAAGTTTAAGGGTCAGGTGGGGTGGGGGTGGGGGTGGGGGCTTTAAAGGGTAGAGGGGAGGGGCAGGGTATCAGGTATCAACTCCCCGAAACTTTGTGTGTGAGGTCCTTGCTGTTTTGTTTGCAAACCGAGACACGCCTATTTCAATTAAACTAGAGGAAAGAATTAGCCAATTGCAGGTCAAACGATAAACACAAGGAACACATAGCAACGTAATCAGTTCAAATTTTAATTCAACATATTGGAAACTTACTTTTTATTCAACTATCATTAGATTTTAAAGGTTTTGGATTGAAATCAAATTGAAATTAAACACAAATTAAAAGTTAATGTCAGCAATTTTGATACAATTTTAATGATTTCTAAATTCAATTTAATGCAGAATTTTTGAAAGTGAATTATTTCAGTGATTTTGCTACATTTTCAGGTTTGATTTATCATTCATTGTATTTTAACAAACATGTCTCATATCATATTTGAAGTGGAACAAAATTAAGCGTGAGAATGTGTCAACTTGGAGATTTTGGAAGAGTGAAGGTATTTTCTTTTCATGATTTATTTTGAAATTTTATGAAAGAATGGCATATCAGTAAATCACATTATTAATAAACTATAAAAATCAAAGTTAATAGTATAAGTGGTGGCTGTTTCTGCTCGGACAACACATTTTCTCATTCCAATTTCTTGTAAACATACTATGAATCTAAACTACACTACGTCCTCCTAACTGTTACCAATGAGAGCTGATTTTTATTAGACACACATCATGGTATAATACAATGTAGTGTCTTCATCAACACAAGATATAACCTCCAAAATGAAAAGAAAGAGACTGTTTTCATTTTAGCAAGTTGAATTTGCAGTTCACCAAACATTTCATCCCATCACTGACTCCTGAATACATACCAAACCATCTTAAATCCCCATTTTCCATCTCCCAAAAGTAAACTTCAACATGTTGCCATCATGTCAAATATATCTGCTCTATAAGCCTTTTAGCTCTGTAAGATTAAATCTGTGACCCTGCTCTGAGGTCTCATCTCCAACCTGAACAATTAATCAATGCCTCTGAGGCGCAGCTCAAATTCACATAATAAATGATATCAGCTCCTATTTAAAGCAGGTGAAGTAATTGTGGAATATGGACATCAATATTTGATATTTTGATGGCAGAAAGAGAAGATGGATGCGCCCCTCTTTTCTTCTTCCTTTTATTCTTCCTCTCACTCGCTCTCTCGCTCGCTCTCTCTCTGTTTGTGTTGCGTTCATGTTTTGTACAGTATGTATGAGTGACAGAGCTCCGCTGGGGCCCGAGTGTAATTCAAACCCTAGGCGAGTCTGTCATAGCAACACAAAAAGTGGGGGGAAAAACAACATAGTTCATGCGCTCTGTCCCACTTTGCGCTATTATTACAGAGCAGAGTCAGAGGGAGAGTGAGGCAGAGAGGAGGGAGCCTGATGCAGAAGGAGGAGGAGGAGGAGGAGATGAAATTACACCTGTTCTGGTGGCTGACTAACGACTTTGAAATGCGAGTGGACCTCGCTCTCCGCCAAAATCATTTTCCCAACAATACTGCCTGATCTTTAAACAAGCAGAAGTGGGACGCTGCGCTGGTGTGACGCAAAATCGTCATGCTGTGCTGAGACACTAACTAACCCTGAGACACTCTGTGTGTGTGTGTGTGTGTGTGTGTGTGTGTGTGTGTGTGTGTGTGTGTGTGTGTGTGTGTGTGTGTGTGTATGCGTTTGTGTGTGTGTGCCCAAGTGCAGGGTCTGAAGTCGGTAATTTTAAATGATTTCTTTGTTTAATTATGTCTTAACTTGTAGTTTATTACTGAATTTAATCGTTGACTTGTTACTTTTTGTTGATGTTTCAGCTCAAATGAACCAAAATCAGGTTTATGCCAAGTAAGTTTACAGAAAAAAGAAAGTTATTTTGGAGAGCGTGCTATTGGGATACTTAAATAAGACAAAATGAATGATACAATTTAAGCTTTATGTAATATAAATATAGCAGGGCATAATAGAGGTGCACAGTGTGTGCTAGACTGTGCAGGATGATGGGAGAGCAAAAAGCCAACAGTATGAAAAACCATGTTGTGCAACTTAATCAATAATTGACAATTATTCAATCATTTTATTTTTGCCTTAAAATAGCTAGGTGTTGTAAAACATATCCTACTGTCCATCTTTTTTTTTCCTATTTGGGATTGCATGCTTGTATGAAAGAGTGCTTTATAAACAACAATCGAGTTAAGGATAAATGGTGGTGGATACACATGGCTGCATTCACAGATAATGTTGCATTGAAAAACACAGAGTTCCTAGATTGAAGTCCTCGTCCAGCATTGTTTCTCATGAAGTCTCATTCACTCTGACTGCTGCCATCTGGTTACTGTACACTCACTGAGCCACATCTGCTGTGTGTTAACCTACACTCACATACACACATCTCTCCCAACGCACCCATTCCACTGACTTGTGTGGCTGATACAAGGTATCCTCACACACACACACACACACATACACACACACTTGAATGCTTACAGTAGCATTTAACTCACCATCTGTTCGCTGAGGTCCTGTGAGGCCTCCATGGCTGTTTGGATTGTCCTCCGACACACACTTTAGGGACAAAAAGAGAAAATAAAAATGTGCGTCAATGAAATAAACCTTTTACTGCTCACCTGTGCAAAAGTCTATGAAAGGCAATCATCACGGGGATGTTGCTGGAAAGCTTCTATTGTGGTTTGAATCATGATGCAGTTTTCATACTTTTTTTTTTTCACATCTACATTTGTCTGTCGGGCCTCCTGTCACTGTGTTTATGTGTGAGCAACAGGAGACCGAATCAGGGAAGCAGGAGCGCTAACTTCGCCATATCATCTTCAGCCGAGGGTGAAGCTGAGAGATAATTGCAGAAGTAAATATCAACAATGAAAAAGGAGAAGTGTAAATGATCCGGCTGCTTGGCTGGCTCTGGACCACAGACACAGAGGCTGGCGAGCTCACCAGGACAGTGAGTGACCCCGTTAATACGAGACAGGAGACAGGTTGGCGCAGGAGTCTGCAGCGGCCGAGGTGATTGTCTACAACTGCAGCAGGGTTGAGTGCGTAGCGATCAGAAAATGTTGACAGAAATTGCGTCATTGTTCTTGGACTTCGTGTCGCACTGTCATGCGGTTACAAAGGGAAGGTTGAACGAGTGGAAAACAATGCAAGTGCATCCCGGCAGACAGGCACAAAATGGCTCCTCTCCGCAGTAAAGTTTGACAGTTGAACAAAAGAGAAGGCAGAAATCCATGCTCACAAGAAAAACACTTCCTTGTCATTAGATCTGCTTTCCCCAGATACTTATGAGTGCAGCTGATCTGAATAATGAAAAACTAGTGTCAACTTCTTCTAAAATTGCTTTTTTTACTCTTCATATATACAAATACAGCAAGTTGTAAATATCTACTTTGTGCAGTTTTATATAGGCTTTGAGTATGTTTTCAATCAGCGAACAGTCCATTTTGCTGGTTAAGCTCAGTCGGTACAGCAGACGCCCTCATATAGGCTACAGTATAAGGGTTACAGGCGTCTGAGCATCGTGTGCAAGTTCGACTCCTGGCATCGGCCCTTTGTTGCATGTTAAAGTTACTCTTTCCACCCCCCATTTCCTGCCTCTTTTCAGCTTTATTATCAATAAATGCAAAAAAAAAAAAAAAAAAAGACCAAAAAATATATATTTTAAAAACTCAATCAAGTTTTATTTACATAGCGCCAAATAACAGCAAACTCAGGATACTTTACATCCTGAGCAGCAGATTTACACTGCACTCTTTACATTACTACTTAACAAGTAAACACTTCCTTTTAACAGACAGAAACCTGGAATCAGTATTATTTCTTATGTTGAACTTAATCTAAAATAAGGCTAAAAGCAAAGTAATATCTAACATCAAGTAAAAGCATTGAATAAGACCAGTCTACGTCTTTTTACAGTTGTGTTACTTAGTGTGTGTGTGTGTCTGTTTGTGTGTGTTTGTGAGTTGTCTGGCTCGATCCTTTAAACTAACTGGCATCCTTTTAATTTTTCATAGCGTTCAGCTCCTCCTCGCCTGAAACCCAAGACAATAATGCGTCTCTCAGGTGAATTGATTTGTACACCAGCCTCCCACACCCTCACCCTCTCTCCCTCCCTCTCTCCTTTTCTCTCTCTCTCTCTCTCCCTCCCTTCCTCTCACCTTTGTGGAGGACAGAATCAACCAAGTGTCTGTTTGCACTCTTGGATTCATGTTTTAATCTTATTCTTATTTTTTTAAATGTGAAACGTGAAAATGAATGCCGAGCTTTATGGGCATTAAAGTGAAATATTTACAGATAATTTTACTTTTTGTTGTGAGAATGTTGCAAAGTTTGCAAATATCCTTGAAAATATCAATAAAAGCTATAGTCCTCAGGTTGATACTGGTAACTTTACTTGTATTAATGTTAGTGCAATGAACCACTGCCCACCTCTTATAGGTTTCTCCTTCACCCACTCCACGTTTGCCTCACATGGCCCTTAATCCACCCCGTAGTTAGGCTACCTGACACTGCGCAAGGAATCAATGATGCTGCCATTTCCTTTGGCGTCCCAGCAGAGAGAATTATATTTCCCTCCACGGCTTTTGACGGCGACGTACGAAACACATGAGACGACGGAGGGTTTAAAGTGGACTACTCAGGCAGACACAGTGCGGGAATGTTACGTTTACAAACCGTTCAGAGGAGGACGTCGAACAAACCGCAGACTGCTACTGTGATACTTCTTTAAAAAGCCACTTCCTCAAATGTTTTTATAATTTTTTTTTTAATAAATGTTTGTCACGCGTAATGTAGACACGCATCTACTCTGATATCTGGGTTAAATGGACCACCCTTCAAATATCAAGGGAAAGTATTGTGGACATGCAGAGTATTTATTAAGCCTGTGGAATAGTTGGAAAGATAAATGACGCTATTATATGTCCCGAGTTTTACAATTAAGACCTAAGTATATTTAAACGCATAGGCGACCACATTAAAGGGAAATAACATTGTTTATTTATTTATTTTATCAAGATAGGCATTAAAAACCTAACCCTATATCCTACCATTTAAATAATAGGCCTTTCTATTTGACATTTATTTTAACGAGTCAGTGTTATATCCCCTATTTGTTCAAGATACATTTAATTAGAAGAAAATAAACAAACAACAACATCAGACTACATTTTATTTCATATAAAATGACACATTATTCCACACAATTAAAGGACCTACACAAATTTCTGGAATTAAAGAGAAAATCATAAAACCTATTTAAAATGTAAAAAAAATAAAAAAATAAAAAACATGACAGTAAACAGAAAACTCCAGGCGTCTAACAATGCAAATCCGAGAATTTAATAGGCCTATTCAAGAGCCAATATTAGGCTATATCTGGCTTTAAACAATTTAGCAAAAAAGGGGGGGGGGGCAATACAGAACTTTTGTGTTTACCTTTTGTGCAAATTTGTGTATGGTTATTTTCCTTAAATCCAAACTCATTAGGTCACATATATCCAGGGTTTGCGCATTAATAATCCTTGGTTAAATTTGAGCCCATAATGTGAAATGTAATCTGCACGGATTAAGACGCAGACGGCCTATCAGATTTTGAGTCGCAGTGTAACTTGTCAGGTTGTAAGGGGGCAGGCCAATAACCAGGGGCCATTCAAGCCCCGAGAGCTTGACCGTGGTTTAAGATTCCCCCTTTCCTACATATCAAATATAAACACAAACTCCACGTGGGACGAGAGATGGGGAGAAAAAGCAGTGGACACCGCGGAGGGATGCTGGCGGAGCAAAGAGAGGGGGCAGCTGAATGCCTCCACGTGGGATGATGGAAAGAGAGAGTGACCTGCCTTCACACATCCTCATCAACACCACATTCAAGATCAAAACATTTTAGAGCTTTCAACAATCAAAATGTTCACGTTCACAGCAGATTGACAAGACCGGTGTCTGTAAAAATGACACTCTTGTTTTCCTGCAAGCCTCAACAAAATAAGATTCACATTCCTCTTAAGGTAAAGTATTAACCGTAAAACGAATAGACTATATTGATAAAATAAAGTCACATTGTATGAATACTATACCGGCTCACAGAACAAATCAACAAATGATTCACATTTCACATCCATTAAAAACGTATAGGCCTTAAACCAGGTAAGGAATTGCCTAACGACAACAACTTGCACAACAAATTGGCTATTTACGATGGCCATTACTTTTCATTTTAAAGGAATCATCTATAGGATAGTAGCATCAAGCCCTCAAAATAACCACAATTGAATTGAGAATACTTCCTTTTATAATAAGATTTTTTTTTTTTTTTTAATAATCAGAATTTGTCAAGGCAGATCTGGCTGCAACAACAAATCAGGACCTGGTCGAAGTTTCTGACTGTCAATAGTAAGTTTTTCCTCGCCACAGTTGCTTACTGCTTATGAGGGATTCATTTTTTTTGGCTCTCTTTTAATAAAAAAAAAAGACCAAAAAGTAAAGTGGAGAACTGCATGCTCTTTCTGTTGAGTGTCGTGAAATAGGCATCTAGGGATATGGTGTTAAATAGCCTGAATGGAAAAAATGATTGATTGCTTGACTGAATCAAAGTACCAGTAATAATAACAGATGGCTATCTGCAGCCACCTTCACTTTCACTGAGCTGACATAGCAGTCAAAGCACAGCTCTGCATCTGTCTGTAAATAGAGAAACAAAGTGAACATAGCCTACCTGCTGTATCAGGTTATTTTCGTCCCAACAAAGCTCCCAGATTTCCTTCACTCCTCACTAACTTTCATAATCAAACACAGAGTGGTCTCAGCACAGCTCTCCCTGCTGTCTGCAGCCTGTCACTGACTGGATCAAAACACTTCAGCCACTGTTGCCCATTACGAGCCGGAGTCCAAAAACAAAGCCAGAAGAGTCATTCACACTCGATTTAACACGTTAAAAAAACTCAAAGACGAGTCCCGAGTGTGTCTGTCTCGGTGACCTGTCCGCTCACTTCAGCGGGAAACTGTATTATTTTCACTTCGCGTCCAACTTTGATCACCAGGCTGTTTCACACGCATTACACTAAACTTCATTATCGCTAACCGCGCCGCTGCGCATGCGCCCAGCTGCCATGCGGACAGTGTTGGGCAAGAGTCCAATGGACTAATGGGGTTCAGAGGGGGAGGGGGATACCAAAGTGACATTCTTATTAATAGTTTGAGCAAATGACGTGCTCACAGTTTTATTTAACCCATCAGAGCAAAACAACACGATGTACCTCACTGACCAGACTATACCTTTCTATCTCTCTATCTCTCTATAAATCAATCTGTCTATCACATAGTATAGCCTGTAGTTGTATCTGCCGCCTTAACATTAATAATTTATCAATCAAGAATCATTAAGTCATTATTAAGGTAATGTGCATTTTTAAGCTGTTGGTGTGATGACACTTCATATTTCTGATAAACATAACAAGATGTACAAGATTCAAACAGCATATGGTCTGCTTTGGATCACAGGGTCATTACCTTCCTATCTATTTTTATATATTTTCTTGAGATAAGAAAGTAATTAACCCCTGTTCTCCAGATCATAGCATTTGCCTAAAATAAATGGTCAAGAATGGTAATTTGCAGCTTCATTCATTTTTTTTTCTTTTTGAATGCATGATGAAAACCATAAGCTTCTTAATTCGCTGTTGCTTTTTCAGCATTACTGTAATGGGTCAGTTGATCCAAAAATAATGTACATAGATTTCTATAAAGGTTGTCAATTGCTCTCATTTCTGGAGTTGTTTGTAGTAGCCTACTTTAACCAATAATGTTATCACTCGGCCACCTGTCAGGGCCGTCATCAGAATGTCAGGAAGACTGAGATAAAGTGTTAAAGACCCCCCCCCCCATATGTTTTGTTTACTGTAAAATTTCTGGTTTGGCAGTCTTTTTTCAGTCTTCTCCTAGAGGTGAAAAAAAGCTTACTGTTACCCTGCGTGATGATTTCCTTTGCATTTCAGAACTGGAAAATAACTCCAAAAGGTAAAGATGGTAGTTATATGTCAAGGTGTTGTTATTAGTAGCCTATAGAAAAGTGTATATAAAATAATTTGTTTTAGGCCTTCCTACAGACAACTCAAAATGATCATACTTCTTAATTCTTGTCAAATTATAAATCAGTCCAACTTCATCAGTATTATACTTCTATTTGGTAGATTTAGATATAAGTATCTTCTGAGCTCAAAGAAGGTCCTGATGAACTTAGAGTCCTGTCCCCATAAGAGAGAGCTAACTGAACCTACTGAAATATTTATTAATATACATATAAGAGCAGCGACAACACAAAAAGCAAAGGGCAAACCGAGGGAAACATGCTGCTGTGTACAATTAAAAACAGAGAAATGACACAAAACAAAATAACAAACATGTCATGTCAGACATTAGAGTTCCACAGTGGCATAAAAAAAAGCTGACAGATTCGGCCATGAAGTTAAGTTTGTTTGAAAAATTGATGTTTGTTGTGGTTTATGGATTCTTTGACTGCTGGATCATACAGGCGCTCCTTTGTCATGCTGTCATTTATTTGTGATGATGATGTCAGCAGCCTGTCGTACGGAACCCTGATTGTTGGTTTTAAGATTCTGCTGACTTTCACATAGACACACGAACACTCACACTCACACACTCATGCACGCACTCATGCACACGATATACATACAAACACATCTTCCATCATTTTCCCTGCTTTTCTGTCCCTTGCATGCAAACTAATGTAAGTTGTTTACATGATTCTAAACGCTTTATGTAGAATTAAAAGAGCCAAAGTTTCCTGGCATCCCACACACAAACATTCAAAAACAAGAGTTCTGGTCTTTGTGGCATTGGCTGGCACAGCAATTGCGGACTAAGAAAGAGAAAGCCACCGACAGACTGACAAAGCAAAAAGAATGAGATCAAGGAGATAAAATAGGAGAGTCCCATTATTGTTTTTAGATGCGGGAGATTATTATTAGACCAGCTGCAAAGAGACAGGAATGCAGTGTTGTGATGTCAAATACACAAAAGTGGCTGCATGTTTATAAGATGCAGTCTTGGGGTTGTCATTTGTCATATCTTGTCAGTTACAAGGTGCTAGAATGGGTGATGCTGAGGCTGGATAAGGATCTGACATGTATTTGGCTGCTAGATGACACTGTGTTGTGTTTTCTCTGCTGGAAATGAACCTTGGGGAGCCCTACAGTACAAAAACACAACTTAAAACACACAACTACTTTAATTCAGTGAGTACCTACAACTGCTCTAACTTAAATCTTAACTATGAGTACTCTACTGATGATTTTTTTTTTTGGTCGTTGGCTTGATTGCTCAGGTAGTTTGCAGATGTTAACATTGCACCATTAACAGTAGAGCACATCACTCCTTCACTAGCGAGAATAAAAAGGGCAGACCTGAGTAAAAGTTTTTCTCTAGACTGGGGTTTGAGTCAATGGTTGGAGATATCAGGGGACGGGAGGGGATTTCTTTTACCAGAACCCCACTGTGATGTCACAAGGAGAGCAAATTTGAAACGAGACGTTTTTCTCTGTCTTGTAAGACTTTTGCAGACCACAAACAAAGGACTGGATGGGTTTAATTCACATTTTGTGAGTCGATAGACACTCAGGTTACCCAAATATATCTTCAAAAACTCTGTACGAGTGGATTTTTCACAATATGTCCCCTTTAAGAAAAAACACACTTCAAAACGGTGCATAGGAGCCAGGACAACCAAAGCAAGCTCAGAAGCCTTCCAAGACACCTGGCTGGACCAGATGCGGGGGAAAATAGTTGATTGAAAACTCTTCTCTTGACTCTTGGTATGATAAAGAGACTGCAGGTTTAGACGAGAAAAGATTTGATCCGTAGAGAAGCAGTTCAGGCAACAGTCTGCTTGGGATATAGTCTCAGTGATGTTACCCATTGGTATACTGAATCAGAGTTTTGAAGTCCATTCGTAAAGCTGTCTCTATACCTTTCAGTAAACCTAGAAATTGGCAGAGTGGTGGAGCTGAGGCCTTAAGCCTCCTGGCAGACAGCTACAACATGCCCACCAGTCAGATTCAAGGTAGATTTTCTGTTTTTATTTACTTTTTCATAAAATTGCCGCGCGCACGGGAGACAGAGAGAGAACACGAGAGTGTTGGTGCGCGAGGAACTCACTGAGTGCACAGAATTTTATACTGTGCCTGAACCCTTGGCGGTTCGATGCAAACATAACAAAACTTCCTTTAAAAAAAATCCCTCGAGTCCTGCAAAGAGATAAGACGCAGCAAAAGGTATCGCGTCATTCTGTGGGAAACACTGTATTTGCTTTGAAGCCTGTTTCTAAATATAAAGCTGGAATATGCGAGCACAGCAACTTATTTCTGCAGTCATCACAGAAAGTATGTGAGAGGACACTTGTGTATCAGCTTTCATGAGAAACACTAACAGTGATTTCCGATTTCCAGCACTGGGTATAGAGGGGCACAAAAGACAAGGATATTAGCTCATAAGCAAAAACAAAACCAAACACATCATTAGAATACATTCTCATTACATAGCTGCTTTTTGACCCTTAGAGGAGACCCAAGTGAAAAAACAAGGGGATGAAAATTCACCAAAGAATCAGCAGAGAATGAAGCAAAGTGACAAAACGGAGCTCTTTAATTGTCAGTTACATGGAACAGCAAAGGAGAAGCCTTACAAAGTCATATAGACGTGATATCACATGATCACTGTGTTGCACTGTGTTGGGAGGGCTTCTTTGTAAAATGGAATATAAGGCAATACACCTCATTGCCATTACCTTTTATCAATTGCCAGAGACAACCAACAGGTGTTAATTAGGTTGTTTTTTTAAACGGCATAATCCCACTTTGGCCTCACAGAACATTGAAAGTTATTTTTTCAGTATAGACTTCAAACTTTTCTGGGTTGACTAACATATTTGAGACATAAATTCAAGGACAGGGTCAGGGAAGTGGGGCAAATGTCACCTTATTTACTCCCTGTTATGGAACTGGTATGTTTTAAGTCCTCTTCAACTCTTTCAATACGATCCACCCCGCTGTGTCCTATTGTTTTTCCTCTCCCTTCCCGCAAGCAGACTCAAGCCTGAACTCTGCTGCTCAGTGATTGACACATTCTGGCAGAATAAATTAAAACCTCAAGCTGTGACAGAGCTCAAAATAGCAGGAAGCTGTCGCTGACCTGCAGACTCTAGTGCCACATGTCAGCAAGCTTAAAAACTTGGCAGAACATTGTGCTCAAAGAAAGCAAGTACAGGTGTTTGTGAGTTTCTGGTGTGTGTGCGCGCGTGGGTCTTTGAATAATCTTTGTTGATGCAATGTCAGAAACGAATCCCACAGGTGGTGTTTAACTAATAAAATGTGCCAATGTTAGCTTCTCTTTACTTTCTCTTTTAGGAAAAACAGTTTTCAACTCGTCCAATTAAACTCGAGCCACATTGGAATTAGAAGACAGTGGCAGATGGATCTATTTTTTTGGCCAGCTGTTGTTGGGAGGGTGATGCTGGGATTGGAGAGGGGGGGCTAAACCCAAGATGTTCAGAGGTGCAGGACTGCGGGTCTCTTTGCCAAGTCACAGAGCCTCTGGTTCTTGCCAGCGGAGGGGGTGGCTGAGAGAAAATGCCATTTAGCTGGCTGGTATTTATAGATATTTGAGGAACTTGTGCTCAGGCCGGGGCCGAGGTGCTGACGACGTAAAACGAGAGGACGCTTCCAGAAGTCGAGTGTCAGGGCACACAGATAAAAATACCCGGTGAAAGATGGGCCTGGTCATTAGTGGCCCAGTCTGGCATGTGACATGGCAGCATTTCAGAGGTGATTTATGATTATTACTACAGCTAACCTATACCTCTCCCTTTCCTGCCCCCACCATCCATCCCAAATTGGTTTGCCAAATGGAATAGCGCATGGGATTTATTTCAGGGGCTGAGTGTAAGGCAAAAAGTCTGCTGGCATTTTAGACTTTGGCAAAGTGCCACAGTTTTGTTGAGTTTCAGATTTACCACAATATCGACTGAAAATAATTAAGCTTAAAAGTTCAACTTTGC